CAATTGATGTTGAGTTGGCTTAGGAGGGGGAATGATTATTCCCTTATTCTCTTGCTTGTGATTAGGAAGTGGTGTTTTTGATTCCATCTATTATTTTCCTCTTCCCCAATCTTTAGTTTGAGAGTGAGCATAATTAAATTTTAGAAATCCCCTCTTTCGGTTTGGGTGTCTGGATTTGCTTTGAAATTTTTGGAGAGTGCATCTGCATTTTTGGAGAGTGAGCTGCTCTTTCTAATGTGGTATTTTTTTCAGCATTCTAGTGCTTACTGTTTTTTCGAGCTTGTTGGTTAATAATCTGTTGAAGCACACAGGAAATTGTGTAATAACAAATTGCTATTGAAAATATCACTATTTACTTTGTCTTTTAACTCAAAAGTTGATATGAACCTCCCTATAGAAATGAACAAGAAGTTGGGAAAAACAAGTTAATTAGGCTATTCTAGCCTTCCCAAGCTCCAAGAAGAAGAGGGGAAAAATCAATGACAGAAATCAGTAATATTCCAGTTATTAGATGATTGTTTCCATTATCATAGTAAACACACTTGTTTACAATAATGTTTGAAGCTCATCTATTAGAGGTTATGAGTAGACATCAATTTCTTTCTTGGGGATGGCATATATTGTTAGTATGGAAGTATTTTAAAAGAAAAAAGCTATATCAAAATGTTTGCAAAGTTATGCCAAAAGATTTGCTCAATATAAAGCACACTGCGTGCAACACTCTAATTGGAATGAAGAAAATAAAGTGTTTGAAAAGCAGACTACAAGTAGGTGGCATAAGGCCACTCATATTGATGATTTGGGTTGTAAATAATTTGAATTGAGCCTAGCATTTACTGTTCAGTATTGTACTTCAATCTGTTTTCAAGCTTGAGCTGAGCTTACGCATGACATGTGTTTTACTTTATAGTGTACTCATTAGTAACACTACATTTTGATTAAAGCATTATCTGGGTATATTGCAAATTTGTAATGTTCAACGTTCTCATTAATGCATTTTAATGCATTTACTGTTCAGTGTTCTTGAGAACTCTGGATGGGTGTGCAACTTTTTAGTAGAAGCCTTTATGTGACATTCATAGAATATTTATGCTTCATTAATCAATATTTGATCATCTTCAAGAACTCTCTCAACAAAGTGGGCTTTGCTTGCAATATTGGAAACCATGCGATACAAATCTAACTTGCCTTTATCAGGTGTTAGATATATTGTGAACTGTTGCAATATTGGAAACCATGCGATGCAACTTGCACAAATCTCTGTACACTGTTATTTTGTCTACTAATTTTGTATTTCTTGCTTGCAATGCATGCCTTCCACCGCAAGAAATACTCCTATGCTCCGGATTTCTGTTCTTTTCGGTTGTTGATTGTTATTGTAGTTGGATGTGAGAAGATTGTGGTTGCACTAAGGAAGAGAAGTAATGAGAACTTGCCTTTTATATATTGTGTATATGATGTAAGTTGTGCTTATGTGTACAGCAAAGGAGTCCTTGTTACTATGTTTCAAAATTTCAGCTACTATTTCAATAAAATATTGCATTCGTTTCTCGTGGACGTAGGTCAGTTGACCGAACCACTTAAATTCTTGCATTCCCTTATCTTTACATCTCTGGTTTGGTTTATTCCTTGCAACTCGTTTATATGTATGCTTTCATTTATTTAACAATGTTTAAATCCATTATATTAATTCATCTTGTGGGTTTTTTTTTTGTGATATTATTAGCATGGCTAATAAAAATAAAAAAGTTGACACTCCTGCACTTTGGGAGAAGGACATCAAATTAATATTTTGTGACTTATGCATATGTGAAATTGATAAGGAAAATAGGCCAACGACATTTTTCAATAAGGAAGGTTGGGATAACATCATTAGCAAATTCAAGGAGATGACAGGTAGGGAATATGATAGGCTCCAATTGAAGAATAAATGGGACCAACTTAAGAAATATTGGAAACTGTGGAATGATTTGAAGCGTGGCTCCACTGAATTAGGATGGGATCCAGTGAATAGAACAATTGAGGCGTC